CTGAGCCTGCGCGTCCGGAGCCTGTGCTCCGCAACGGGAGAGGCCACGACAGTGAGAGGCCCGCGCAAAAAAAAAAAAAAAAAAAAAAAAAAAAGGGGGGGTTAAGGGGGGGTTTTAAGACATCTATTATTTCTTCACCTCATTGTTTTATACAGAAATGTTAAGTGGATGCATATTTATAGAACTTTAGACAAGTGAGGAGATGAAAGAGATAGGGTTATAGAATATTTTCAAGGCAAGATGATCTTTTAAGCACATTCTCAAACAGAGCAAGTGCTCCCTGAGTTCTTAAACAGGTGTTCTTCATCTCTGAGTCAATGAATGGGTAAGGGTTTGCTTGCGATGTGCACGTTAATTGCCAGCATTGTAAAAGGAAGTGCTGGTAAAGTGTTTGAAAGTGGTTCCGTCTTTTGAAAAGATTAAAAGTTTCCTCCAGAACTTGGTTTCTATTAATAATATTTGGCTTAGCAAATATTTTCAAGTAGACAGAGCAGAGATTGTGTCTTGTATCATCTTAGAACCAAAGAAAGTGCCACAAAAGGCCCACAGAAACCACTGACTTCAACGTTTTCATCACACGGAAGAGGAAGTCAAAGCTCAAAGAGATTGACTGATTTATCTAACATTAGTAAGTGGACTGGCTGGGGCTAGACACAAGGTGTCTGACTCTTGAGCTATTCTTTTCAATACTCAAAGTGTTCCCCACCCATGTCACTTGTACACAGAAGAGGTTCAACCAATGTTTGGTGGTTGACTTCATAGACTCTTGGTACCCAAATTAGGTGTAGCTAAGGCTCCCTCATTTGTTAGATTAAAGCAGAAATTGGAATCACGTCTTTAATTGAACAGTGGTTAAGTGCACTGGCTTACGAGTCAGGATGAATTCCAATCCTGATCTCACCAATTCCTAAGTATGTGATCTTGGACAAGTGACTTCATATCTCTAAGCTACAGTTTCCTTCTTTGTAAAATGAGAAGGAGACTAGGGCTGTGGTGGTGGGGAGGATGAAATAAGTAAAAGATGCAAAGACCTTAGCCCGTTGTCTGGAATATGGGAAAAGCACTAATGGCTTCAAAGTAAGGCAGCCCCTCTCATGAAACATAAATCCTCAGGATATTTGAGGAAGAGGTGATAGAGAGGTGGGCTGAGAAAGGAATATGAAGGACAAACAGTATCTCACATCAAAGCAATGAGTACCCGAAAAGAATCATGGAGACCTAGAGCTGCAAAGGCTCCTAAGGATCCAATGGGTATGAGCCTCTCTTCCACACTGGAAAACAAGGACTGTTACTGGTTATGTTCACCTTCCAGCAATATTCTCATGCAAATATCCAGGAGCCTGCCCAGTTCCCAGCCAACCTGCCATAACTTCACCCCCTTCTCACCCACTGGAAAAGCAATCACAATGCATGAATACTCTTCAATTTAATATAAGAGGGAAATCATTAGCAAGCTTCGGTTCTTGTACTTTCATTAGTAATACATGAGTTTCTCATTGCTACTCTCATCCAGCCTCCTTCATTTTACTGTTGGGAAAACTAAGCAGCAGAGAGGTCAGAGAGGCTTAGAGTTACATGTTAGGGCTGCCACCAAGATTCAGGACTCCTGGTTCTTTGTCCATTGTTCTTCCCACCATATCAACTCTGCCTTGTTAAGACAATTCTACAGCCAACACCAGGTTACAAATCCCTAGAAGTGAGTCTGGCTGTGATGAACCTCCTTCCAGTGCAGGCCTCTCTGACCCTCCTTACATCCCTCTACAGCCCACCCACTTGATCCAGAGAGTGCACTTACATGTCTGTGAATCTTCTATTGAAGTGTAGGGTGGAGGCCACGTCCACCTGGAGAGGAGGATCCCGGACCACCTTGTACTGCAAGGGCTTACACTCCAGGCAGAGTGGGGTGTCTGCAACAGAGGTCAACATGGCCGCATCTATCTCCAAGTGCTCATCCAACGTGTAGATCTGGATGCCAAACACCTTCTCGCTCACATCCCGGAGTTTGATGGTCAGTGGGACATCACAGAAGACGTTCTGAGGGCCCAGGGAGATGTTCTTCCCACTGACAGTCAACAGTTTGATGTCATTGACAGCCCCACTGGAGTCCCAGTCAGTGGACACGAAGGTCACCCAGATGGTCAAAGACTCAGGGACCAAGGGGTAGTGGAATTCCAGTTCAAGGTAGCAGCCTTGTGGCTCAGGGCAGGCTGGAGGGACTGTGTGTGGGTTGACAGCTGAATTTGGGCTCCAGGTGCGGACACTGGACTTACAGGGTTGTTCAACATCTGGATGACCTGTGGACAAGAGATGAGGGGATGAGTTCTGGAAAGTCCTCAGAGTTTCCTGCAGACCTCAGGTGACACTGGCCTGACTAGAACTCACAGAGAGGGCAAAAAGAGAGGGAAGATTCTCAGTGTCTTGGTGAATCTTTTGTGTGCACAGCACCCAGCTCATCCCCACACCTGCGATCCAGATCTGGACGAATCACCAGACATCTAGTCAAACCTACATTCAAATAAGTGTCTTATGATTGTGTCGGTGCCCAAACTGTCCCGCCTCATTTATTACTTGTAGGCTTTTCTGCCTCAGATGGAAAGAAAGAAGGAACGCACATTTGCTGAACATTCACTATGTCCTCTGAACCTGTTTAATTCTTGCAAGGACTCATTTCTGAGATGAGGCAACTAAGGCTCAGAAATGTGGAGTGAACTAACCAGAGTCTCACAGCTTGAAGTGTAACAGTCAGCATTAGAGCCTAGTTTTGTCTCGTCCTGAAGTTCCTCGTTGTTCTCCAGACTGAATGGAAGAGCCACTAAAATAAACTAGCATCCCTGTGGCACTGCCTTTGGTACAACCTGCTTGGAATGACAGAAGGGCCAGAAACCTCCAGTGAAGAGGAGGTAAGTAACGATAGCTTCTGCCCCTTGGGCTGAGTATTCTGGGAGGAAACTGTCTAGAACCATGAATGACAGAGCTGGAAGACAGCCCTGGAGCCATCTTATCTCTTTTCCTCCCCTTCTGCACATGAGGTCATTCCATACCACTGAGCTTCTCTGAGATCTGTCCAGTCTGACTCAGGAAGGGGAGGGATGGTTAGGAGGGGGGAGAAGGAAGGAGAGATTCTTCTACTCTTTCCCCAGAGAGACGATGCCTCATCCCCACTGATCTCAGCCTGCAGCGACTTCTGAATTTTTCTCTGCTGAGATCATTAGTCCTAGACCCTCAGAGAGCTCTCCTTTGCACTGCTGAGAAAAGTAATCAGGACTCAATGCAGTGATTGGCTCTAATTTATTTAAGGGTGTCTAGCAAGAGATACACATCAGCTGGTGAGGGTAGGATGAAGGATCTCAGGTTGTCCTATCAGCCACATTCTTTAGCATCAGTGGTTGATGGGGGGTGGAGATGCTGGTTGATGGGGGGGGGTGGACATTTCTAAAGCAAAAGGGAAAAAAGTCAATCTTTGTCCGAAAAGGTTTTGATAATGTTACAGCATAATAGGAATCACCGCAGTATGAAAACTAGAAAGCCATTTTGGGTGGAAAAGCCATTCCAGTGAAAGCTGTAAATGTCTCCAATCTCCTTGCCTCTGCCCAGCCAAGGGAGAAGACAGAAGATGTCCAGTGGAGATGGAAAAGAGAAGAGAAAAAGAGATGGGAGCAAGGGGGCTGGGGGTTGGAGAACAAGGAAAATTCAAAAGACTTTTTAGATATAACACATCAGAACAAGAAGAGATGGATGTAACTACCAGATTCCCTCCACCTCTCCTTGGCCAGGTTCATTTATTACTTGCAGCAAATGCTGGATAGAAGAGACCGGTTGTTTAAGTCAAAGGCACAAACAAGACTCCCTACCTAGGCTGAAGCCTTTCTTTTTATCGATTCTCCAACCCAGAGAGCTCCTGATTCTTTTGACTCTGTGGGTTGTTGGTTCTTCTGTATCACTTATTCATTCAAAAAGCTTTATTGAGGGCAGCGTTTTAATACATACAGAGCATATTCCCTAGCCATTAATTTATTTATCTGATTCTTACCAAAATCCTGTAAGATAGTGGTCATTTTTGTCTCTGTTTTGTAGCTCTGTTTCACTCAATACCATATTCAGTCTTTAATACAGTGCCTGGCACATTAACAGTGAACATAGTGGACATTCAATAAATATTTGTTAAGTGAAGAATCTTCTATCTTGTTCAGATATGGAGCTACAAAAGAAAGTGAAAGCTCCATGGAGTATTAGAGCCTGCTGTGCCATGGCGGGTGCCAGGTGAACACCACACCACACACCCCCCCCGCCCCCGCCCTCCACCATGGGCTCTCCTGGAACTGGCAAGTAATGGAGCAATCTTTCTCCCTTCCTCGGAGAAAATGACTGTCAGTGGCGGGAGCCACAGGAGAGCAAGGATGACAAATCTGTCTGGCTCATGCTTTCATCCCTGGTTTATTGTTAATCAACAGAGGGACCAGATGCTTTCCAAAGGACAAGAAAGTGAGCTTGGTCATTATGCTCAAGTAAGTAAACAGGACTAGAAATATTTGCAAAGTGTGTGCTTGTCTGGTTATCAGAGACCAACTTTTAGATGTACAAAAGAGCCTCAAGGGGCACCGAGTCCAAGTCATCAAAAAAGCAGCAATCCCTTTAATAATACCAGTCTTCATGCACTGACCATTCTCTGTGTGCTGGGCACTGTGCCAGGCACGTTACATGCCTCAGCTCTTTTCATCCTGGCCATAAGTCTATGACGTCGGTCTTATGAAACTCATTTTACGGAAGAGGAAACAGAGCCTGAGATGGTTAAGTAATTCCTTGGTGGGGAGTAGAATACTATGTGATACTGTTGGTCCAGGGATCATACCAAGCTTTGAAGGAATGAAAGATGGGTTAAAATATCAACTATACAATTTCTCACAGTATCACCTACTCTAATGATGCCTACCCGACAGGGGTGCTATAATACTCAAATGGGAAGAGATATTTAACAGAGGAACATATTCACAAGTACATTAGCTCTGTTTTGAAACATAGGGAAGAATTAACAAGGGAAAGCTTGGGAAAAGGAGATATTCCAAGCAAAGAGAACAGTTGAGAGAGAATGTGAAATACTGTGGTTTTGAATGCAACGGGAAAGCAGTAAGTGGTGGTAAGGCTGGCGTGCTAAGCCGAACCCAGATTATGAAGGGTCTTGCACATCACTTTAAGGAAACTGAACTTTATTGCTGAGAGAGCTGGGGAGCTACTGAAGAATTTGAAGCAAGCAAATGAAAGTTGTCTTTCAGAAAAACCAATGTTTAGAGTCAGATACTCTCCATCCATCCATCCATCCATCCATCCATCCAGGGAATAATTGTTGACTGTCTGGTCTGTGTCCAGTGTTAGGCTATAGTCCCTGGAGAAACAGGTTTTGCAGACATGGTCTCTGCCCTCATGGAGCTTCTAGTCCAGTGAAAACAGTTAAGAAACTGCTGTACTAATTCAGATAATACACAACTACTGCTTGTACAAAGGGAACATCAGAGATGAGGACAAATCAGTGTCCCTACGGAAGAAAAATGGATGCAGCTGGGAAACTAATTGGATGTGTGGTGATAAATCTGGGTGAAGGGCTGAGAAAGGTAAAGGGAAGGGAAGGGGAGGGGACAGGAGGGGAGGGGAGAAAGAAAGGAAGGAGATAA